GTGTGTGTGTGTGTGTGTGTGTGTGTGTGTGTGTGTGTGTGTGCGTTTTTGTGTGTGTGTGTGTGTTGGTGCAACGTGTCCAGAAGGTGAGGAACATGTGCATAAAGTCATGACAACTTGCACACAAGCATGCGCGATGCAACAACAACCCCGCAAAAGCACACACACACACACACGCACACAACACGCACACACGAACATAACACACGCACACACACAGACGAGCGTGTGGTTGTGCAGACCTGGTTGTCCAGCAAGAACCTGCAGCTGCAGTGCTTTCATCGTGGTGGGAATATTGAGAACGGTCGTGTACACGTGCGGTAGAATCCGGCGCGCGTCCTTGATGGGCATGTTGCTTGCCAACGCGTCCTTCAGCACAAAGCGGGCAGAGGTCGTGTTGAAGCACTCCTCAACGCGCAAGCTGTCACAGTCACACAAATGCATGTCAATGTCAAGCAAGGATGAGTACGTGCGCAACACTCCTCGGGCAAACGTCGCAAAGACACACACACACACACACATACAGAGAGTCTCTCTCTATTTCTTTCTTCCCCCCTCCCCACACCCATGCCTCCGCCCACGCACGCATGCACACGCATGCATTGGCACTGGCTCTCCACCACGACGACCACCTCTCATTCCAGCGTCTCCACACCCACCTTGCCCACAGGTCGGTGTCGTTGGCGAGGAAAACGGGGCCATCGCATGACACCATCTCCAAATCTGCGGTTGTTGGCACAGGCAAGCGCTTCCGCAGCATGTCTCGCACACCTGACAAAATGTGATGCCATGTGTGCGTGTGCGTGTGCGTGAATGTGAGTGCATGCGTGCGGGCATGCAATCACGTCAGACATCAGGGGACAAGAAGAAGATACCAGCAAAGATCAGCAGAGGCATGCATGACTTGACTGAGTGCTGTGTCTACGGTTAATGTGTGTGTGTGCCTGCTTGTGAATGTGCTTGCTTGCTTGTCATTGCGTGTGTGTTGTTGTTGTCGACGCACGCTTGCCGCGACCAGTAGAAGACCTACCTTTTGCTTCCTGCGACAATGTTTGGCGTCCAACAGCGCTGTCATCTCCGTCGTGCTGCTCTTCCACCTCCTCATTCTTATCTTCATCAAAGCGAAGGCCTGGAGAAAGCCGAGGCGTGAGTATTGAGTGCCTGAGCTGAACATCTAACGGCAAGGAACAACAACGCTTGTGCGACATACAAAGCCACACACGCACACGCTCACACACAGACACATGCGCACCCACAGGACCACACCATTCACTCCCACATGTTACTCACCAGCTGGTACCATGTATGCGATGTTGGTGAGGACACGCAAGAGGCTGTATGTGCACAAGCGCTTCAGGCCCTCGTCGCGCGCCTTCCTCGCTTCCTCCTGTCTCTGGTGCAGCACGCCAGCCGCCGTCACATACTGCCCAACGAAAAGACGCAGCACAGACAGGGCACAGACGCGTAAGGGGGGGGCAGAACATAAAGTGAGCCACCCAGCCATCCACAGAACTGACAACGTGAGACGGGCACACCTCGAAGCACCTGCCTCAACACATCACACCACACCAAATGTATCACCACACCACACCACACATCGCACGACACCATGTATCACATCACAACACCGCAACACGGCGTGTGCGTCACCTCTTCCAACGTGGGCCGCACAGGAACGCCTAGCTGCTGCAGGACCTGCGGCATTGCGCGGCTCGGGAGATGGCTGTGAAAAGATGCGAGGCGACGGGAGCAGGAGCACATGTGCTTCAACATTAGCAGACACACGTCAGCAGTGATGAGAAAATAGCATACGGTACGAAACAGCGTGCCCAATGCAAAAATATACACAGACACACGTCCACACACGCACGTACATACAGACATATGGGCACGTACACACAGACACACGTACACACAGACACACACACACTCACACACTCACACACGTACACACACACACACACAACACAACACAACACATGCCACAGCACAAAACAATACCATTGCACGCACTCTGTGAGGACGACTTTGTCCAAAACGTCTCTGAAGAGAATGCGAGCGCTCTCGCGTGGTGTTGGTGCACTATGGCGCTGAGACGGCCACACCTTCTTCGTGTGACTTGGCTCCTCCCACACACACGAGGACAGCGGCACGGGCTGCATCTTGATGGCCGTCGTGACACCGCTCGTGGCGCTGCTGCTCTTGCTGGCAGCATGCTCCTTCCTGTTTGTGCTGCTGTTGCTCTTCGTTTTGGGCTTCGTGTCACCGTGCATTGGAACGAGCAAGCACGTCGTAGACGTGTCGGTTGTGGACAGCGATTGCACAAAGGCGGCATCCGCGTCCACAAACGCCAGCGCCGCCAGGACCACATCCGCTGTGATGCGTTTGCCTGCAAGCACAGCACTCTTGGGCGATTCAGCAGCATCAGCAGCATCAGCAGCACCAGCGGTGATGGTGGTGGTGATGGCGCGCCAGGCGTCTTGTGATGTCGGTGCATCGCGAATACCAATGCGCTTGAGGTGCGCGCGTGCATCGGCGGAGGGGCGGATGTCGCCCCACGCCACGCGCCGGAACAGCGGCTTCCATTGAAGAAGGTGGGGGGGGGGGGCAGAGAGTGTAATCATTGAGGGAGTGGGCATTGGGTGTTGTGGGGAGGGTTGTACGTGTGTGCGTTGTGGGTGGAAAGACCTGGCGTGGGCACAGGCGCAGGTGTGCTCAAGGGATGCAAAGCCCACAACAACATTCCCAATTGCACCTTCCTTCCCTCCTCTCCACACACATCCACAGATACATACACACACAGATGCTGTACACACACAAGCGCACACACACACACACACACACACACACACACATCCACAGACCATGGCCGCACCTGGGGATGTGGGTGGAAGAGACACAAACACGTCCTTCGGAGTACAGAGCTCGCCGTCAGTCGTGAGCACCCAACAATGCTCAGCCAGCGTCCTGTCATCAGAGTTTCAAGGAAAGAGCAAACCAGGCAACAGGCAGTGATTGTGGTTGCGTGAGCGAAAGCGAGAGGAAGGCGTGTTGGCGTGTTCGTGTGTGTAAGCAAGCGTGAGGATGAGTGAGAGAAGTCTCACAAAGGCACAGATAAATGCCTGCATTGCCTCTCAACACAAAACGCGAGACAATGAGGAATCGGTAGTCTTACGTGAAGAGTGACGACGGTGTTGTGGTTGGCAACCACTCGTCTCCGACCTGGACTTCCTTGCGCATCAGCTGTTCACCAAGCGGTGGTGTCGGCAACAATGGTGAGCATGGATCCAGGCAACGTGTGCATGTGTGTGTGCGTGTGTGCGCGAGAGAGAACGTGTGTTTCTGTGTGCGATGGTTCCTGAACATGTTTTGTGCATGTGCAAGTGCATTTGTGTATGCATGTGCATGTGCGTTTGTGTGCATGTACATGTGCGTATGTGTGGAGGCGTGCGCAGGGATGGCGGTTGTGTTGTGAGCACCACCTTGGCGACGGCAGCAAGGTGGTTGCCAAGAAGTTCCGCACAGAACAAGCGCTTCTGGTCATCACTGCCAATCATGCATGTTCATATTCGCAGCATGGACGCGGAACGCGCGCGCATGAGCCAACAGCAGCAGCAAAAACATCAGCAAGAGATGCATGTACACAAGCAGGAGGTCACACACATGCTCAAGCACACAAACAAACAAACAAACAAACAAACAAACAAACAAACAAACAAAACAACCAACCAACCAAACAAGCACACAAACACACAAACAAACAAAAACAAACAAACGAACAAGCAAACAAACAAACAAACAACAAACAAACAAACACACACACACACACACACACACACACACACACACACAACAAACAAACAAACAACGCACCTCATGTGCGGCAGCGCTTCAGCAAGGAGTGGACAACAAACATCGCGCACCAGCACCTGAATAAAGTGGGGAGCGAGGCGATGCATGGTGCAAAGGTTAGACGTTCGAATCGAAGAAAGATGCAACGTGCAGCACTTACTGGTAGGTGGCAAAGTGTCCAATGCACACAAGCGCAAACGTGTATTCACGCGCATACAAACACGCACACAAGCACACACACACACACAAGCACACAAGCACTCACACACAAGCTTGTGCGCCAGCAGTGAACTGGTGTTGCTGTTCGCTGAATGTTCGTGAATGTTTTCCTCTATTTCTCCACAACAACACCAACAAAACACGGATGAGACACACACACACACACACACTCTCTCTCTCTCTATCTCTCGCTCTCTCATGTTGGCTTGTGTGCTTGCACACTCCTTTGCCGTTCATCACACTCAGTTCCTTGGCAGTGAGGAAACAGCACGCAACAAGATTGAAGCAGGACACGCAAAAGGAAAGACACAAACACCAATCAAAGCACACAGGGCAAGGAAAAAGCACACAGACATACAGACACACGTACGCACACGCACACGCACACACCCATTCCCCCCCCCCACACACACACAGACACACACACAGACACACACACAGACACACACACACACAGACACACACACACACCCCTCACACACACACACACACACACACACACACACACACACACACACACACACACACACACACACGTGCTTGCTGCAAAGCGGGTGAAGCAGTCTGGAAGAATAAGCACGAGCGAGCCGCCCTGCCGAAGGGCACGCAGCGCAACAAGCAGCTGGTCAATCAGCGTCGGCTTGCAGTGGTTGTCTGTGACGTCGTTGCCGTCGCCATAGACCATGTCCGCGTGGTCAAGATGGATGCCGCACAGGGCAATGTCAATCGACCCATCAGGGAGAGATGTCGTGGTGGCCGGCGCGCGGCTCATAGGGAACGGACACACAACAGTTGCTGCTGACGACGACGCAGAGGACGCGCTCGTGGCGGACGTTGTTGTGCTATCACCACCACCACCACCACCACTGGTGCTGCTGCTGCTGTCGGGGGATGGGGCGTCAGCGTCGGTGCTGGGTTTGCTCTCATCGCTCGTCTCACCGTCACCACTGTCCTCATGTTGCTGTTGCTGCTGCTGCTCGTTGCTGTGCGTGCCACCCACATCACCAGCAGTTAGCGCAGGGTCGCTCGTGATTGCATCGGTAGTGATCGCGTGCACGGCCTCGCACCGCTCCTCCAACAGCTGCACATACGGCACCAACGACGCGTGCAGCACGCAGCAGCGCAGCGGTGCCTGATCGAGCCATTCAGGGAGGTGTGAGTGAGTGAGTGAGTGAGTGGGTGGCTGGCTGGGTGAAGGATACGCTTGACGAGATGCACAGAGTCAGCAGGAACCTAAAAGAGTACACACACACACACACACACACACACACACACACACGCACACACACACACACACACACACACGCACACACACACACACACATTTGCATGCACACCTTCTTGTCCTTGACATCGTCTTCATCTGGCAGCAGGTGTGTGATGGCGGCGAGGTGGGCCAGCTCCAAGTACGCCACGGGAAACACAACGTGTGGTCGTTGTTCCTTCAGCAGCGCCGCTGCCGCATTGGCAACAACCCCGCACTTGAGCCCCACGCGCGCGTGTGCGTGTGTGCGGACGAGTGCGGCGACGCGTCGGGTTGCATCACGTCGCTGCTCCTGCAGATCAATGACGACGTCCTGGCGAGAGAACTTGGAGCAGAGAATGGTGCGCAGTGGGGCACCGTGCACAATCTCCCATCCAGACACATCCTCGTCGCTCAGCGGTGGCGGGAGTGATGTTGATGATGAGGCTGATGTTGATGTTGATGTTGATGATGACGAGCGGTGGTGCGTGTCGTATCCGCCGCTGCCGCGATCGTGCTGGTGCGGTGCACGCAGGACGAGCCAGTCGGCGTCCGTGGGCTCGCCGTCGTTGTCATCAAACCACGGGCTGCCCTCCATCCCCTCCTCAACGCCGAGCAGCCGGTGCGCGGAAAAGCCGAGACCGCCGCGCCCATCGCGCATCTCCGTGGCAATTGGCGCGTGCCGCCCCTGCTCGTGGCGGCCGAGACCACCGCCCGTGTATCCAATCTGACGCATGAGCATCTCGCCCTTGGACATCGCAGCGGCTGCGCGCCCACCGCCACCACCAACATCGCCGCCAGCCGTCGCTGTTGCTGTGCTGGTCGTTGGGGATGCTGCTTTTGCATCAGATGATGACGACGATGGTGGTGGTGGGGCTGCATCAGAGGTTGTGGCGCGGGTGAATGCAGGTGCAGCCGTGGCCTGGCCTGTCGTCGTTGTCGTCGTCTTCGTTGTTGTTGGTGACGACGACACGGGTGCTGCTGCGCTGCGTGCGTCCCCCTCGGCACCAACTGCAGCTGCGTCGACAATACGCGCATCACCTGTATTCTTCTTGTCGTCCTCGTCCGCCATCAGCCGCGCACGCTGTCGCGGTGGTTCGCCCGTATCCCACGCGCCATCATCGCCACCCTTGATCGCCGCCGTATTGCTGTTGCTGCTGTTGCTGCTGCTGCTGTTGTTGTTGCTGTTGTTGTTGTCTCCTCCGCGGCCACCGCTAGTGCCACTGCCCGCTGCTGCTGCTGCTGCTGCTGCTGCTGCTGCTGCTGTGGCGGCCGGGGCCTGCGGGTTTGCGTCGCTGAATGCGCGTTTCTTGTGCTGCTGGTGGCGGGCGTACTTCTCCTGCCGCTCGCTCAGCGTGGCGCCGTCAATGCGCGAGCCAAACCCGCGGTGGGCGTGGCTGACGACGGCGCTGGTGGCCCATGCGCTCACCTCGCGGTCGGACACGATGCGCTCGCGGCGGTGGATGGGCTGCGGGCGGTACGTGTCGAAGAAGCGCCGCTGCACACCGCGCTTGCCATCCTTGATCGCCTGGTGGTGGCGGCGTCATGGTGTTTGGTGTAAGGGTTGGTGGTGGTGGCGTGGTGATTGATGGATGTTGGGGGATGGATCCAAGTCAAGGAAGAAACAACGACAGAACGCCAGAGGAAGGATCACATTCATGCACGGCGTGCCATTGGGTGTTTGTTGTGTGGAGGAAAGGTGAATGCAAAACGGTGAGAGGGATTGTGGTGGCGAATGGTGGCGAATTGAGCGGGGTGGAAATTCGCGGGAGAAACACAAGCATGTGACATGACATGACGTGCAACGGCGCGAGGGTGGTGTTGTTGTTCATATTGGGTGATGGTGGGTGGCCCCATTCGCGTTGGGAAAATACAATGTGCCCGTGCGTAGAGTAAGGTGGTGCATGTGTGAGTGGGTGAATGCGGTGTCGGGACGTTGGACGTCCAATGCTTACGGTTTCATGCACACACACGCACACGCATACGCACAGACACAGACACAGACGCACACACACACACACACACGCGCGCGCGCACAGAACGCCATACATGCGCCCCCTCTCGTTCTGTTCTCGAACCTCGTCTTCCATGAATCCCTTTCCATTCGTTTCAAGATCGATGTTTCGCTCAATGCAGTCCGTGAACCAGCGGCTGAATTGATCCGCAAGCTGCACCCACACCCACACACACACACACACACACACACACACACACGCACACACACACACACGCACACACACACACACACACACGCACACGTAGGTGAGGTGGTGTGAGCGTATCGTGTGCCATGGGATCATCAGCGCTTGACTTTGCTCTGTGTGTGTGTGTGTGTGTGTGTGTGTGTGTGTGTGTGTGTGTGTGTGTGTGTGTGTGCAAGTCTCCCCCTCTGTTGTCTGCATGCCATTTCACCACTATCGCCACCACTAGGGTTGTTTGCACCTGCACGACTTCGTTCACGAACGCCTGTGGCATTGCCGCCGTGTCCATCAGCGACAGCCGTCGCCCCTGAACAAACACATGCACATGTGCGGGTCATGTAAGTGGCCAGTGGTGAGGGATCGTGTAAGCAAACACAAACGCACACACGCATGTACGCAACCACAAACGCACACACGCATGTACGCAACCACACACACAGACACACAAACAGACACAAAGACACACAGACACACAGACAGAGACACAGACAGACAGACACACCCACCCACTCATGCATACATGCATGCCCAACACAACACCTGGCTGTCGAGGGGCAGGTCTTTGCCAGCGAATTGCAGGAGGCGCTGCAGCATCGCGTCGGAAATGCCGTGAAATCCTGGATCAATTCGACCATGGTGGAGGAGTGTGAATGAATTGCGGTTGTGTTCGCTGTACATACAGGCACGTGCACAGGCAAGCGGTAACTGCCACACACACACACACACACACACACACACACACACACACACACACACACACACACGCACACGCACACAACCCATACACACACACACGCACACACAACACATACACACAGAACAACTCCACCTTTTGCCACGATGTAAGTCTCTGCGTTGCTTGCGCGGCTGCAGGCGGGCTTTGTGACCCAGACCTCGTCAAAGAGCGAGCGCAGAAGATACAGCAGCGCAATTGTCGGATGCTCAAACAGCGTAAACATCTTCAGCACCATCGCCCCACCTGTATCACAAGCGTGCCAGCCACCGCACGTGTGTGAGCGTTTGCGACACACACACATGTCAACACACATACTCGCACACATAATCACACACATACACACAATTACGCATATGCACACACCTTGATCGAGGCAGCCAAGGCCAGCCACAGCCTCGCAGTAGTGCAGCTGGGCAACTATCATCTCCTGCTCGTTCGGGTCGTGCTGGCAGTCCACACTGCCATCTGCGGTGAACAGCAGCACGGGGGCGTCAAGTGCACGTGCGCGCGCCCACAGGCCGCTAATGTTGGCGCGGTGGCGGATGTCGCCCGTGTCGTCCGCGCCAAAGTACCACCGAGGCAGTGTTGCAGAGATGAACTGGCACACGCACGCACATGCGTCAAGGTGTGTTTGATGTGTGTGTGTCATGTGTGTGCGTATCATGTGTGTGCGTGTCATGTGTTGGTCATGTGTGTCGATCATGTGAGTGTGTGTTTCAAGGGTGAGCGCATATGGTTGAATCGAGTGAAAGTACATGAGTCAACAAGCAAACTGCACAAACAACAACAAACAATCGACAGAACGACCAAAGCAAACGGAAAATTCGGCGTGCACAGGGGGACGTAAGAAGAGGAAGAGAGGGTGGTCGTGTGTGGATGAACGGCCACGTGACGGGTCTCATATTGGGTGGTGAGGTGCAAATGTTGAGCACCCTCAACAATTGGCACACACACACACTGACACACACACACACACACTGACACACACACACACAAACACACGAGCACAGATGGATGACCAAATACAGCCTCATGCATATTGGATATCATGCCACCACCACCACCACCACCACCACCACTCCCACCATCGCCCATCCCAACGCTGATGGCATGCACAGCAGCCGCAACTCACATCATCCGACTCCACCATGGCTGTGGGGTCGTTCTGCTCGTGGTACGGGTTGAGGGAGTTGCCGATCCACCGCCACTGGTCTCTGGCCGGGTCGTCTGCCTTTGGGATATGGCGACGCGTGCGCAGGAAGTGGTTGGTGGCGGTGATGAACCCACCAGGCGCTTCGCACGCGTGCACACTCGCCACCCTTGCATGCATGCAAACGTGTGCGTGTGTGTGTGTGTGTGTAAAGTAAGCAACAGGGGAACAGGCGCAGCGAATTTCGAATCTAACCATACCCACACAACGACGCCGTCTTGTCTCACTTCTCGAGTCACTAGCGCCAACGCCACCAAAACACTACCACACACATGCAAATACATGCGCCCGTGCGTGAGCGTTGTTTTAGGCTACCTGTCATCTCTGGACACGTCGAGAAGCTGAAAGTGCTCGAGCAACTCGTACATCTTTGCCCAAGCGTTGGTGCACAGCTCTGGGTTGCATTGCTTTCGCAGCGCATGCAGAACGATGCCGGTCGGGTTGGTGAAGCGAGTGAGCTTCTTCCACATGTCAATCGCCTTGTTGTCAAGCTTGCTGCGCACATCGCCCGTGCGTTGCTTGAGCACTTGCATCTCTACACGTATCAGGTCGGGTGCATTCGTGGGGTGGTGGTTTGGGTTGTGTTTGGACCGAAATGTTTGCATGAGTCAATGGCAAACGCCTTTGTGCTTCAATGAGTACCTCAACATCTAAAGCTCATCTCAGCACCAATTGGAGTGTTTCACCCAACCAATCAGCCATTCATGCAAACAACACACACACACACACACATTCGCACCTGGAAGAATTGGGCCTTCAATGGACGCAAATAGGTCGTCAGTAGTTGGGGCCTTGTCGCATGGTGTTTGCACCTGCACAAACTTGTCAAAGAGGTTGCCGTAGCCAACCAAAGCACGCTCACGCGCACGCTCCCAGGCTTCTCCGTCACGGGACGGTCCGCGGTTGCGCGACCTGAATGAGTCTCCTCTCGAGTCCCTCCGTCCACCCCAGCGTCCCTGATGGTTTTGCTGGTGGTGATACCGACCACCGCCATCGCGTGCATGCGGCGGTGTTGGCAGCAACGACGAGCTGCCACCAACAGGCGGCCCGAGGCGCGAGGTGATCAGCGGTGATGGTGCACCGGAAATGAGCGGCTGGCGATCGGGTGCGTTGGAAGGTGGCGCAGATCCCGGTGGTGGCGGTCCCAGCCTTTGGGAAATGGGCACGCGATCGCGGGGCTCGTGGTGGCGGTGATGGCGGTGATGGCGGTGGTCGTCGTGATGCCTGCGGTGCTGCTGACCTCGATCGTCATACCCCCTTCTTCGATCGCCATAGCGACGGTCATCATAGCGGCGACCACCGTGCGATCGCCGATCGTGCCGATGGCTCATCCTCGTTTGCGTGTGTGTGTGTGTGTGTGTGTGTGTGTGTGTGTGTGTGTGTGTGTGTGTGTGTGTGTGTGTGTGTGTGTGTGTGTGTATGTGTGTGTGTGTGTATGGTTGTGCGCTCTGCTGTGGTTGTCGTTGTCTCCCTGTGTGGTAAAAGCGAAAAGTGCTGAATCAGCAGTTCCTTCTGTGTTTTGTTTTGTGTGTGTCGCACACCAGCCAACACAACCACACAACCAAGCGCACTGTCCGCAGATGTCGCCACTTTCCCTCCCACTCTCCCCAACACAAACAAAACACCACTCTCCCCAATACCAGGACTGCTTTCAAGATGGACGGGAACTGGCGCACTGGTGCACCCATGGCTTCGCCGGCGCGTGGCCGCCAGCCGCGACGTGGTGGAGGCCGTGGCCGTGGTGGTGGCCACGGCTATGGAGGGCGAACTGACACCTCCGGACAGGCGACGACAAGTGAGGGCCGCCGCTACGACCGCACGTCTTCTTCGACGCAGCAGACTCGAGACAATGGATTTTCACGGGATGGCCGCGTTGACTCTGGACGCAGCCGTGGTGCACGCCGATCTGACGAGGTACCGCAACAACCACCACGCGATGGAGGGCGTGATCGCCGATATGGCGGTGGACAAGGACGAGGCGGTGGACAAGGACGAGGCGGTGGAAAGCCGTCCGGTTGGTCACCCCAGAAAACGAAGAAGTTTGGGATTGTGCCATGGATTCGCATTCGTGGGCAGTGGCTGTGCCTGCTTCAAGTGAGCTTCTCGGCAGTGGAACTCAACTTCAAGTTTGATCCCTTGCGCGGGGAGGCGCGCGGCAAGGAGACCTGGCAGCAGACGGCTGCCCGCGAGGTCCTGGAGGAGTCATGCCACGTGTTTGACTTTGGGGACGTTGCCGCTGACCTGCCCAAGTCGACATTTGTTGGTGGGCTGTATCACGTGGAGATCACCCCGGAGAGTGGCAAGATCGAAGACGAATGGACAAACATGCTGGACGCCTACACGAAGAACCGCCGCAGCATCGAGAACGCGCTGAAAGCCGGCAAGTCGTGGGCACGCAAGGAGTGCCTCGAGTGCGAAGCCATTGGGTGGATTGACCCCCATCTCAACGACGACGCCCTCCCATATCGTCGCGCGGGGCAGGTGCTACGCAACGTGGCCAGGTTTCATGATCACGACGCGATGCCAAAAGTTCGCATGCAACGCCGCAACTTCAAGAAGCGTGGGACAACCACGTGGCGTGCTCTCGACTGCAAGCCTGCGCTGAGGGGCAACTGGGATGTGCCTGATACTTCGCGCGAACCCGTCACCGCCGTGCTCAGCGCCCACGACCACATCGGCAAGACGAGGTACTGGCATCAGCTTGGTCGCAAGGCCTTTTGCTACCCCGAGGATTTCAGCACCGAGGAGCAGTTTTCCAAGGTTGGTGCAAGCCCTTTTCTTCAGACCGTTGTTGGGGTGCTTTTCTGTGTGAACGTGATGTTGTGGAGGGAGCATTGTTGTGGGGCATCACTGACAAGAGGCATTTGTTCACATGCCATTCCCCTCCGTGCGTGTGTGATTGTTTGTGCTGCAGAACCTGACCAAGGTGCTGCGGGTGCAGAAGGAGTTTGATGCCGCCGATGTGCGCACGTGGCTTCGCCAGTACTGCGAGGCAGGCGTTGCTGTGACCGACGCGGAGGTGCGCAAGCAGACCGACCCGCCTGCATCGCTGCCACCAAACCCTGGAGCGCTGGAGGACTCGACGTCGTCGACAACACCGCCGTCGCCACCGGCACCGCACGTGCACGTGCCGCGTGGTGGTGCTGGCGAGAAGGACGAGGAGAGCAGCCTGGCAGACAGTGCCATCGAGTCACAGCCTGATCAATTGGGATTTGAAAAGCTACAAATCAGTGACTAGATGGAGTCACATTCCTGTCATGTCACATCACACCACGCGCCGCACGTGTGCGTGCGTGTGTGCGTGCGTGCGTGTGTGTGTGTGTGTGTGTGTGTGTGTGTGTGTGTGTGTGTGTGTGTGTGTGTGTGTGCAAGCTTGTTCACGTGTACGTGTCTCGCTGCGCTTTAACGCGTGTGCGTACGTGCGTCACCTCGTTGCGCGCGTTGCTGCTCCCTGCTGGGATTGCACTCGCGCCATACTGTCGCTTACATCTGTTGCCTTTGTTACTTTCTTGACGTTTTGTTCTCTTCTGTTCCCCGCGCGTGTGCACCTTTTGTTCTGTTGTGCTTGCGTTACACTGTTGTGCGTTGTCTGGTGACTTACACTGTGTCCTTGCATTGTTCACTCCCTCGTGTTATCTCACGTGCGTTGCAGTTCATCGCTGCCACGCGTGCGGTGCGTATGCCTGTGCCTTTTGTGCTCGATCGTTTGTTCACGCATTTCCTCCCACCGCATCCGAGCTTTCGTGACGTGCCTCCCTCCAATCACCAATACAAGATCATCAAACGACACACAAGATGGATTGTGTGGGTGGTGCCTCGTACCCTATTCTGTTGAGGTGCTGGCACATACGTGACTGGCTGCGTTTCCTGTGAAACGAACATCAAAAGCATGTGCGTGCAACGAGGGGCACCAGCGGAGCGTGAAAGTACAGAAGTGGGGCGCATGTGCGTGTGCCAGTCCATTTGTCACTGTCTGCTTGGTCGCTGTCTGCTTGGTCTGCGTGCTGCAGTCGTGCAGCAATGTCTGTCTCGATGAATGTGGCCGCATTCGATGCAGGTGTAACTGGCTGCTCATGCATGTGTTTGGCTACAACTTTTCTTACATCCCCATCAAATCGCCACTGTTTGTTCTCCGCTTTGGCGCACTGCCAAGAAGGACACACGCACATTTCCCCCTGCTTGCTGTGTCAAATCTCCTTGCTCGCACCCTTGCCGCGTGTTGCTGGTGGCCTCACGTTGGCTGTTGGCTGTTGGCTGTTGGCTGTTGTTGGGTGCGTGCACACACACACACACACACACACACACACACACACACACACACACGAGGCGGCGAGATGGTGGTGTTTCGGCGGGTGGTGCTGATGGCTGCTGCGGCGCAGGCGCTTCCGGCGATATGGCTGGCTACATTGCAAGTGGAGCAGGGCATCTCACCGCTGGCACTGCTCAAGTTCTTGTTCACGCACGATCAACGGCTAGACCTTGCCATGACCATCTTGTCCAACGGATCGTCCTTCTTCACCTTTGTGAGTGCGTGCGTGTGTGTGTTTGTGTGTGCGGTTGCTGGTGGTCGTTTGATCTCCCAGGCAGCGTTGCGGCCTCTGCCGTCATTCCTTGCAACTGTATGTTACCGACCCGCGTTTTCTCCCCCTCCTTGCACGACAGATGACCATCTGCACAATCAACGCGCTGCTATGTGCGCTGGCGCTGTTGCTGGAAAAGATTGTCTTCACGCGCCTCCGAGCCACAGAGTTGCAGGTGTGTGAGTGTGTGTGTGTGTTTGTGCATCTTTGTGTGTGTGTGTGTGCATCTTTGTGTGTATGAATGTGTATGAACGTGTGTGAATGCTCTCAGTGTCGGATTTCGACTCTCACACACACACACACACACTGTCCATCGCTCGCTACCAATCTCTCCTTCTCCCTCACTCACACGTGTCCTGTCTGCCTGCCCTCTCCTTACCGCAACCATGACACCCCCCCCCCAAATATGCAATCAGCTGTCGTTCCAATCAAGCGTCAACTTTGTGATTCTGCGCGCGATGGCGATTCATGCGGGCGTCAGTCTCCACGAGCACGATGATCAAGCGTGGCACTGGCTCTTCTGGGCCATTGTCTGCGGCTGGGGCACCGCCCTCCAGGCCATGAGCCACGCCCGCCTCACCTACGTACGCGTGCGTGTGTGCGTGTACGTGCGTGTGTGTGTGTGTGTGTGTGTGTGTGTGTGTGTGTGTGTGTGTGTGTGTGTGTGTGCGTGTGTGTGTGTGTGCGTGTGTGTGTGCGTGTGTGTGTGTGCGTGTGTGTGTGTGTGTGTGTGCGTGTGTGTGTGCGTGTGTTGCGGGTAGCAGCTTGATCGTGTTTCGATGTGAACGTTGCGCTGCTTTTCCTATCCTCCACACCCCTGAACATCCACCCTTCTTCATCCCAACGCCCCAACAACCACACACAACAAAACCTCACTCTCCTCCCCTTTCTTTCCTTCCGCCACTCTCAGCTGTTCACGTCGCCGCATGCCGATCGCGTGGCTGTGGGCAAAGTGCTGGCGGTCGTGGTGCTGGCGTGGGCAACGACGCTGCTTGTGCTGTCGTGGACGGTGGCTGGGCCCTTGCACTCTGTGCAGTGGTATCTGCTCTGGTGCTTTGATTTCCTCATGCTCACCATCAAGTCTGCCAACACCCTCCTCACCTGGCTCTACTACCGCCAGAGCATCGTGCGTCACACGCCAGTGTGGCGTTGTGTGTTGTGTGTGTGTGTGTGTGCATGTGGTGTGTGTGTTGTGTGTGTGTGTGCACACTGAAACCACGCTGCGACATGCTTGCCCCCCCCCCCCCCCTGTTTACCTTACCCACCCTTGCCCCCCCCCCAACTCTGCCAACACAAGCCAGCCACGACGACGTGCGAGGGCCACGTGGTTGAGGAGCGGCGGTACCACTCGTCGCTGGTCATCGGGCTGCTGCTCCTCCTCCTCCGCTTCCTCCTCTGCTCCTCCGTCCTCGCCATCAACGACTTTGCCATCGGACCCATCAACATCGTCGCCTTCTTTCAGTGCAAGTGCGTGCGTATGTGCGTGCGTATGTGTGTGTGTGCATGTGTGCGCATGTGTGTGTGTGCGTGTATGTGCGTGTATTTGCGTATGTGTGTGTTCTTGTGTGTATGTGTGTGTATGTGCGTATGTGTATGTGCGTATGCGTATGTGTGTGTGTTCTTGTGTGTATGTGTGTGTATGTGATCGCTGTCATACTTTGTGTGGTCGTTGTCATACCTCACGTCATCCATTTATTGCCTCATGATCGCTGATCCTGTGTTGCGCTTTGTTGTGGGCTCACATCTTTCCCTTGATTCAACAACACCTGCTCACCTCTTTCATCAACACTGCCACGGCCATCATCACAACAGGGGCATCGTGCAGAGCGCACAGGCGCGCCTCAAGGCCCACGGCCAATACCTCTTGTATGTTTCCTGACCAGCAACATGGCACGCTGCTCTGTTGCTTCTTGCTCATTCTTTCGCAAGCATCCATGTGTGTGTGTGCATGAGTGGTGTTGACCGTGTAGACGCACTCACGAGCACGATTTGCAACCCTTCATCCCCCTTCACCACACTGCCCACCCATTCACCTCAATTTTCAACCCTTCACCATGCTTCATCACCACTCTCGTCCCCGTCACCCCCACAGGGCGACGCGGCGGCTGGAGCAGATGTTCAGCGTCATGAGCGCATCGCTCATCCCCGAACACACGCGCACGGCCGGATGCCCCATCTGCCGCGATGACTTTGGCGACGACGCGTGCTCCCTCCCGTGCAGACACGCCTTCCACCAGGTGCATTTGGTGTGACGGGTGTGTGTTTGTTGTGTGTATGTTGCGCGCGTGCGCGCGTGTGTGAGTGCACAATGACACCTGCTCTGCACATGCTTGGTTGCTTGGTTGCTCGTCTGATGGAAGGTGATGTTTGCGTATCATTACGCAGCCTCTCACACAACACACACACAACACACACACACACACACACACACTGACACGCACACACAATGCCAGATGTGCATCACGCGGTGGCTGCAGCAACAGCCGTCGTGTCCAACGTGTCGCCTGCAGCTCGACACTGCAGCCACACACGCGAACCACAATCGCACTCCGACAACACCCATCGCCTCCACCACACCGGCCGCATCAGCCGGGGACAGCGGCGGTGTCAGCAACGCGGATACAGCGAGTAGCGGGCCATCACCACCTTCCCACCACCAGCACCACCACCACCATCATCATCATCAACATGGTTACACGCGGCGACGGAGGAGGCGGAGCGTTGTTGCTGCGGTGCTTGACACGCTCGCCGCCGCTGCCGCCATTCGCATTCTGCCCGCGCTCGCACACGTTCTTCGCGGGCCACGACAGCAGCAACACCATGATGGCCGTGCTGATAACGATGATAACGATTATGGTGATGGTGGTGATGGGTTCTGGGCGTTTAACCAGGACGACCTGGAGGCGGAGGTGAGACACGCGGCGTGTATATATATATATATATATATATATATGTGTGTGTGTGTGTGTGTATGTATGTATATATATATATATATATATATATATATATATGTGTGTGTGTGTGTGTGTATGTATGTGTGTATGTGTATGTGTGTTTTTGGTTTATGCTTCGTATACACACGTCCTGCTGTGCAGTAACTTGATCTCGCTTGACACCCATTTCCTCACACAACTTCCTCTTCCTCTCCTCCCTTCACTTCTGCCTTAACTCCTCTCTACCCCCACCCTTCCCATATACAGGTTGCGCGCGTGCTGGCTGTGTTCCCCCACGCGCCCGCCGGTGCTGTGCGTGCGGATGTGTCGGTGACGGGATCGGCGGCCGCGACGTCAAACAACATCTTGGAGGGGCGTGTGCCCGCCGTTGCACTCCGCAGTGACACCTACCGCGGTGGTGGTGAAATACGTGGTGGTGGTGATAATGATGACACGCAGTCACAACTTCCACCGCAACAGCAGCAGCGCCACTCCAATCTTGGATTGACGAGTGATGACGAGGAGGAATTTGACTTTGAACCTGATGATGATGATGGCAGAGGGTGTGTTGGTGCTGGGAGCAGTGGATGCACGCGTGTGACAAGAAGGGGTCGGCCGCGACGGCTGCTGCTGCGAACAAGCCGCAATCACGCTGCGTCCCATGGTGGTGGTGGTGGTGGTGATGCGGTGATGCTGCTGTCGCCCCTCACGTCTCCAACGCGTGCGCATACACACGCGGACGGCGCAATGGATGAACGCGACGCCACTGGCGATGATGTTGGTGATGGCGGTGTCGACGATGACAACAATCGTGGTGGTGTTTGTGGTGGAAGCAGGACCAACGACACAGATGAAGTGTGTGTGTGTGTGTGTGTGTGTGGGGGGGGGTGATGGGCTCGTGGTTGTGGCAGGCGCTGTTTGAGCCACGCGTACAGCTTGCTCGCGTGCGCACCCCTGCTTGATTTGTCTTTCTGTGACGTGTTGTGTCAGGCCTTGTCATGTCTTGTCATGCAATGTCTTGTAATGTTGCAGCTTTCTCACATCAACAACTCACATTCACACGCACATGTTTGCAAATGCAAAAACCAAAGAAGCAGGGACGACAACAACAACAGCAACAGCAGCTACACGTTGGCGGCAGTGCGGTGGGAGGAGGAACAACGAGAGGACGGGAGGCAGCTGCTGTGACTGTGAAACGGAACGAACCACCATTCGCAGCAGCAGCAGCAGCGGTGATGGTGGCGCAAACACTCACGCACACGAACGGCGTGCACGCAATCGACACTATCGACGACGACAGCAACAGCGAACAGCAGCACGAATGACTGAACGACGACAAGCAGACAGCCATCACCACCGTTACACACACGCATGCCACTGCAGCAAGGGAGGGGGGGGGGGGGTGAGGGAGCTGTGGTGGGTCAGCGCTCAGCCCATGAAGTTAACGACGACGAGGTGGAGGATGAGGTGGCCGAAGATGAAGTCGGCAAAGGCCTGCTCCCGCGTGATGGCCGAGAACTCCTGCGCATTCTCCGGGTTCACCTGACTCCGCAGGCACGCTGGGGGAGGGGGGAGGAGGGTGTTGCATGATGTGTGTGTGTGTGTGTGCGGTGGTGTGGGGTTGTGTTGCGTGATTGTGTGTACGGTGGTGTGGGGGTTGTGTTGCGTGATTGTGTTGTGTTGTGTGTGCGTGTATAAATGTGCATGCATGCGTGTGTGTTGATGGTGAGTGTGAGAGAATCAATGTGGGGAGCTATTTCTTCTCCTTGTGCAAGCGGCATGTCCCTTGCACCATTATCGCTATTCTGCAGTAGCAGTCGTCATAAACGGCCTAACCGATCCCTTTCAACGCCTCTCCTCCCGCTCGTGCATGCTTGCAAGCAATTGAAAGGCAAAGCTTATCCCTCCATATCATGCACACACACATAAACATACATGCACACACACATACACATACATACATACACACAATCACACACACACGCACACACCAATCACACGCACACGCACACATATACATACATACACACGCACACACACAGTACACATACATACAACGCACCTGCGAGGACGAAGGAGCCGACGCTGGAGATGAAACCGGACAGGAACGAGTTGAAGGGGAAGGTGCCGACGAGCGCGCAGTACACAAACTGGATCAGGCCTGCAGATATGGTAAAGGAGGGTTAGAGGGGGGGGGGGTGTGGGTGCGTGTTTGTGTTCGTGGGTGGGTTGGATGGTTGTTTTTTGGGTTGTGTGAGGGACCTGAGACGCACAAGAAGAACAACAACAAGAACAACAACAAGAACAACAACAAGAATAAGAACAAGAACAAGAACAACAGAAACAAGAACTTAAACAACAACAACAAGAACAACAACACCCCACCACCCTCTCCGAAACACACCTGTGAGGAGGATGTAGAAGAGGTAGGCATCGATGATTTTGAGGGTTTTTGGGGTGGACTGGTATGCCTTCCACAGGTTACCGACGACGGCGCCAACACCCGCAACAGCCTTGCTGCTGCCGCTGTTGCTACCACCGCTGTTTCCTTTCGCCTGTCGGGAAACATAGATGGCAGGGGCGGACGTGAACGGGACCAAGACTTGCACACACCTCCGCATTACACTGGCAGCAACGTATCGAGGTAGCTTGGGGTTCCTCAACCCCTTGCACACACACACACACACACACAAAGCATACACAACATACACAACACACACACACACACAACATACACAACACACACACAGACGCACTTCTATGCCACTGACCATCTTGCTGTGCTTGCTTGTTCGTCTCGTTCTTCTTCTTCTCCTGTCGTATCCGCTGCGACTGCCACAAAGGGAAAATTTGCCAGTTCTTCCACCACTTTTCACAACCCACGCCGTAATCGCTCAACCAGCCATCCAATCCACACACACACACAGCCAATCCACACCAACACACACCAATCCCCAACACTCTGTCTCCTCAAGCTCACACATCTTGGCTACCCCCCCTCCCCATTCATTCATTCATCCCGTCCTCCTTCTTTGTCAAGGATCGCTCACGCACCAGCCCCTCCTTTTGACAAAGCGCGAAAACGCACCGCGGTTTCCTTCCCCGTGTCTTGCCTTTTTTGGCATACTCCATGTTGTTTGAAGGTGTGACGTAGACTGATACACGTTTCCTTTCTCTTCCTACGCTTCCCTTCAAAGAGCCGCAAGCTCTTTTTATCCCACGATGGAGTTCTCGTTTGGCGACCTCTCGCTGGAGGAGACGTCCGCGCTGAAGTCCTCTGCTGCAAAGACCTCGTCGGCCGTCAAGTTCACGCCGGTGCAGATGCCCGGCAATGCCGTGGCCACCAGCAACAGCAGTGGTGGCGGTGGCGGTGGCATCACCTTCAAGACCGTGCCGCCTCGCAAGCAGCAGCAACAACAGCAGCAACCAAAGCAGCAGCAACGACAACAGGCTGCTCCTGCTGCAGTCACAACTAAGCAACCCGCCACCCCTCAACAGCAACCGCAGCAGCGTACGCCTGTGATCACGGCCCCGCCATCGGCAGCCAAGACCGGCACACCGGCGTCGTCTCAATTCCCCGGCGCCGCGCCAAAGCAACGGCAACGGCAGCAGCAGAGGAAACCCAGCGCCGCCACCAGCCCATCGCCGTCGTCGTCCACCTCGTCGCGTGCCGCCTCCACGTCATCAGCGCCGCAGCAGAAGGCAACCAAGACGGCGTCCACGTCCTCAGACAAGGGCGCGGACGGCAACGGCAACGGCAACGGTGACGGCGACGCGGCACCCGCAACATCGCCAACAGAGGGAAGCGCACCGGCCGCCAAGCCCAAACTGACCAAGCGGCAGCAGCAACAGCAGCGGCTACGAGAACTGCAGCGGCGGAAGAAGAAGACCGGTGCTGCGCCCGGGGACGCAACTGTCGAGCCGCACTACGCCATGCACGGCATTCTGAACGAGGGCAACACGTGCTACATGAACGCACCGCTGCAGCTGCTCTTCTCCCTGCCGCACGTGCGCCGCGTGCTCCTTGGCGCGAGCGTGCCGCCGTCCACGCTGACATATGCGCTGCAGTCGTTCCTGCGGGAGTTTATCAGCACGAGCCGGCTCGATGTGCTGGACCCTCGACAGGACGTGGACCGTATCCTTCGCGTGGCAAAGCCGCTGTCGGCGGCGGCGGTGTATGCGGGCATTGGCTCGCGAAACCCGTCGCTGTTTGACTTTTCGAACATGCAGCACGACGCGGAGGAGGTGCTGACGTTTCTGCTGTCGACAGTGCACGATGAGCTGCTCAAGCACTGCCCGACGTTCACGGGGCTGGCACCTGGGGAGCGAGACGCCAGCGGCGGCGCACGCAACGCTGATGATGCTGATGCTGATGCTGGTGATGATGCTGGTGATGACGGCTGGGAGGAGGTGGGGCCCAAGAAGACGTCCGCCCGGCTCAGTACGTGGCATGATGTTGTGCTATGTTGTGCTGTGTTGTGTTGTGTTTGTGTTTGTGTGTGTGTTGTGTTTGTGTGTGTGTGCGTGTATCTGTTGTGTTTGTGTGTGTGTGTGCGTGTATCTGTTGTGTTTGTGTGTGTGTGCGTGTATCTGTTGTGTTGTGTTGTGTTGTGCGTGTGTTTGTGTTGTGTTGTGTTGTGTTGTGTTGTGTGTGTGTGTGTTTTCTCGTGTGTGTCCTCGTGTGCACCCGTTGCCGGATGTGCCATGTCTTTTCGTTCTCTATCGGCACGATCTGCCTCCCTTTACCTTGACACATCAACTGTCTCCACCTCGCTCATGCTCATAACACCACCACCACCATCACCACCACCACAAACAACAGACGAGGTGAAGGCGAAGTTGTCTGCTGTGTCGCGCGTGCTGCAGGGCACGTTCCGCTCCACCATCGCCTACAAGTCCGGCCAGCGCTCCATTGTTCTCCAGCCATTCTTCGTCCTTCAGGTCGACATCAAGGTAAGTGTGTGTGCGCGCCGAAGTGTGCTTGTTGGGTTCACCTGTGTGTGCGTGCGTTCCAAGTGCTTGCAAATGCCTGCCTCTTGCAAGCACATGCATCACACGTCTCCAATTCACCCCCACCCGTCCCACTTCACACCACTGCACACCGCCAGCCCGAGACGAAGCGGCTAGAGGAGGCGATTGATGCGACGTTTTCGCCGGAGACCATCGAGGGCGTACAGCGCTCAGGCGCCCCAGCAGCGGTAATGGGCACTGCATGCTTACATGGTGGATGGCGGTGGTGGTGAGGGGATGCACAGTGGGGTAGCGACACATGGTGGCTGGTCTGTGTGTGTGTGTGTGTGTGTGTGTGTGTGTGTGTGTGTGTGTGTGTGTGTGTGTGTGTGTGTGTGTGTGTGTGTGTGTGTGTGTGTGTGTGTGTGTGTGTGTGTGTGTGTGTGTGTGTGTGTGTGGGATGGTGCCAGGAATGTGGTCGCACCTGTCAAAAGACGGCTAGCGATGTGCTTACTCCAGCACACACGTGCGCGTGACAACTCTGGTGATGTAACCTGTCACTCACCCTGTGTTGTTGCCACACCCTCATCACCCTCATGCCATCTTCCCCTCTCCTTCCATGCTCTTCCCCCTCTTTGTGCAGGTGACGGCGCGGAAGCAACTGCATCTTGAGCGCGCGCCGCCGGTCTTGCTGATCCAGCTCAAGCGATACCATTTTGACGGCCAGCAGATCACAAAGCTCACCAACCACGTCGACTTTACAGAGACGCTCACCCTCAAGCAATGTGAGGCCCATGTTCATGTGTTGTTTTGTTTGTTTGTTTGTTTGTTTGGTTGTTTGGTTGGTTGGTTGTTTGGTTGGTTGGTTGTTTGGTTGTTTGGTTGTTTGGTTGTTTGGTTGTTTGTTTGTTTGTGCAAGTGTACTTGTGCAGCACACAAGTGTGTGTGCGTGCGTGCGACCTCCTGCTTGCACGTCGACCCGATGACTGCACATCGACCTGCACTTTCACATCAACACGCTCACACATTTCGCCACCCTTTCCTGCGTATTCACACGTAATCTCCTTTCAAATAATCACAGCGTGGCTCAGCGTGAAGGCGCAGGCGGAGCAGGAGTGCGAATACCACCTCCATGGCGGTGAGCCAGTTGTCCAGCCTTGATGTCCGCAATGTTGACGTGTTTGAGCGAAAAGCATTCTTGTTTTTTTTTTTTGCACACACAGACACACAGACACACACGCACGCACACATTCACACACACACACACACACACACACACACACACACACACAGACACACTGTCACACACGCGCGCGCGCATCAACTCCATCCTCAACAGAATCACTCTTTCTCCCCTCTCCCCTTCCCTCCTCTACCTCATCCCAACCACCAGTTGTGTTCCACATTGGGAGCCTGGCGGTGCAGGGCCACTACACGTGCTCTGTGCGCTCCAGCTGCGGCTGGCTGGATTTCAACGACAAGAAGATCAAGCGCATTGACCCGATGTTTGTGTACCGCCCAGCGGAGCGGGAGCAGGCGTACATGCTCGCATATGTCCGCAAGGACGCCCTCCACCTCCTCGACTACCGCTGATGCATCAGGGAAAAGGAGAAGGCAGCAGGGGCGTGGTTAAGCGGGGATATGGGACAGCAGGCGGAGGCGAACGAAGGAGGAGATGAACACAGAGAGAGGAAGAGATAGAGAGACAGATAGAGAGCATGTGTGTGTGTGAGGAGACTGCCATTTCCCACTATCGTGTCACATCTCCTGCCCTGTCTGTGGTTGTTCCAGTGCCGTAGCTTCATAGCATATTCGCGTTTGTGTTGGATTCATTGGCATGTTTTGGGACGCATCAGTTGTTCAGTTTACAACCAAGAAGATCAACAAGCGTCATTGTCTGTCGTCAGAAGCGACAGCTGAAGCAGCAGTAGCGACAGCTGAAGCGACAGCAGAGGCAGCAGCGTCATTGTTCCATCACACACACACACACACACACACACACACACACACACACACACACACACACACTTCCCGCCAATGGAAACAACACCATAAAATATCTTGCAGCTTCCTACCAAAAACCCACCTGTGCGGGTTTCAGCACAAGCCACCCCCGCAAACGCCGACTGCTTTTTATCGTGTTTCATTGCGGCGCCAACGTCTCCACACCGCCCGACCGATACACCGCCGTCCGTCGTCCACAGAACCGAAGCGCATCGTGCGGCTTCAGTGTCGCCTCCCCTTCTGCGCGCAGCCATGGCGTCGAAGAAGGGAAAGGACACCTCCGCGGAGCCGGACTACCACCGGCTCGTCAAGGTAATGAATGAACAAAAAGAACTGGAATGGTGTGCGTGTATACCCTCCCTCTCTCTCTCTGTCTGTCTCTCTGTCTCTCTGTCTCTCTCTCTCTGTCTCTCTCTCTCTCGCGCATGTGGTTCGCGGTTCAACTCACTCGACACACATGAGCACTGAGAACAAAGTCGCTCTGCTCTGCTTGTCGAATGTCGTTGCGTGGCTCCTCTGCTGTGTCTGTACCCCCTTTCTCTGACACACGCAACAATCTCTCTTTCTCTTCTTCCCCCCCCCTCTCTTCTTCTTCCCTCCCCCTCTCCCTTCTCTTTCTCTCCCTCACTCACACACACTCTCTTCACTTCTTCACTTCCTCACTCCAACCCCTCCTCCTCCTCTCCTCTGATCCTCCCGACAGTCATTGGCGGAAGACCCAACTGCAGGGCGCACCTTGGTGTTCCAGCTTGTCGGCAGCATTCGCGAAGACAAGAAGAAGAAGGCCGAGGTCAAGGCCATGTGGAACGCCTTGCACCAGACGGCGTCCTCCCCAGAGTTCAAGCGCATCCGCATCCCCGTGTTTGTCGACAGGCACATCCTCATCCTCCACCTCTCCGACGCAGCGTGCCACTATGCCCAGGGTCTCGACAGCGCAGCAGCTGCCGTCTTTTTTCTTGACGTCTTCAGCGCCTTCACCCTCGACAAAAGCGAACAGGTACCTTTTTATTTGCATGTGTGCATGTGTGTGCTTGTCGTCCCGTGTCTGCATGTACGCACCTTGCTTGTGCGTGGTGGCATCACCGCTGTGTGGAACCAGCACTCATCCCGAGACACACATCCCGCTTGTCCTCAGATTGCCACACTGCAAGTGTGCCGCTACTGTGGCGTGAAAGACATTGTCGACGGAGGTGAGGTGCTTGTGTGGTTCGCCTCCCCAGCGGATGCCAGTCCTTTCCTTGGCTCTGTGCATGTGCATGTACATGTGTGCGTGTCGATGTATGTGCGTGTGTTGATGTTTGTGTGTGTGTGTGTGTGTTTGTCTCATTTCCCCTCTCCGTCACCAGCACCCACTTTTCTCTCATTCGCACTCACTCACACACTCACACACTGACACACACACACTGACACACACACACACACACACACACACACGCACACACACTCACACACACACACACACACTGACACAACACACACATACCTTGCAGCGGAAAAGTCCCTGGCCGACTTGGTCAAGGCGTTTATGCTCAGCGGGGACCTTTCCACGTTTGACCCTGCTCTTCTCAGACAGGTGTGTTGTATTGAGGTGGTTCGTCAAGGCTGACTTCCCTAGTAGACCTTCAACAACAGTGCGCACTTTTCCCATACCTTCACACATATTTAAACCTTCACGCACACACACACACATTCACACACACATTCACACACACATTCACACACACTCATTCACACTCATTCACACACACACACACACACTCGCACACATACAGATGTCGACTCAGCTGCAGCGGGAAGACCTGTTCCGCAAGTACAACGTTGCGACGACGCAGCAAGTTCGCGCGTTCCACAAGAAGCTCTCCACAGGTGTGTCTGTGTTTGTTTGTTCGCTGGCAGTGCGATGCCAAAACAACAACAAAGACAATATGTACATGCGCTTGCCTTTCATCTTGCTACACTCGCTCCGCTCCCCCCTCACTGGCCTCGTTGACCCTGTGCCATCTTGCCAGAAGTTGCCAACAGCATGCTGTTGACAAAGCACGCCCGCAGCCGTCCTGCCCGCGGTTCGTGGCACCAGGCAAAGCCCGCACACATCCCAGACGACACCATCAGCAAGGTGCCATCGAAAGTCCTGCGAATTGCCTGCACGTCTCGCGTTTTGTGCCCTTGTTTCGCCACACACCCCATCTCTCTCTCACACACACACCCCATTTCACACACACACACACACACCCATCACACACCTACACACCTACACACACACTCACACACACACACACACACACCTCTAACCCCCCCCCCCACAACCACCCTCCCACGTTCTCCTCTAAACCTCTTCCCTAGGCGGCAAGCCTCGCCAAGCTTGTCCTTGATGCCGGGTACTCTGCAACGGGCTCTGTAGACGCCTTTGTTGATCTCGTGCGCAAGGCGCAGATCACCCAGCTCACGCCGTCCATCCTCGCGTTTACCCTTGGTCAGTCGCGCCGTATTGCCAAAACGACAGCCCTCTGGCCCACGTACTCTCTTGCTTGTCGCCTCGTTTGGTAGCTCGTGTTGTTGTAGCTTGCTGTCTTGCCCATGTTCATGCCAAATCATCGCCACCCCGACCTCACCCAGTCCGACCGTTCTTCTCTCCTCCCTTCTCCCCTCTCCCTACCCTTTTGTCCCGCCATTTTCCCTCTTTTTTTGTGTGTTTCCTCCTTCTCCCCTCTCTTTGCTCTCTCCCCTCTCCCTCTCCCCTCTTCCCCTCTTCCCCCGTTCTCCCCTCTCCCTACCCTTTCTTCCCGCCCGTTCCTTCAACTCTCCATTCAACAGCTGCCATGGCCGCCAACCTGACCACTGCCAGCACCTCAACACAAGTGCATGTAAGCGCGCGCGTCTCCCACATTACTCCCTTACACCTGCCCATGCGCGTGCGCCACGTTGCCTTCACCCCTCGCCAGTCCACCCCATCCTCACGCTACCCCATCCTCACGCTACCCCCCCCCCCCCAATCCTCACGCCCACCTTCCCTTTGTCCATCGTGCCAGGGCACTGACGTGTCATGGGAGCACACGGACAAGCAGCTCTCATCGTGGGATCCAACCATCATCGTGGCTGCCGTCAACAAGCTGGTGCGCTGCATGGCTGATTGGTGTCTTTTCTAATCTCGTCTTTTTGTATGGTGCCGCGTTTACCACTCTGCATTCACCCCACACTTTGTGTACTTCGCACAATGCGTCCATTTCATGAACTTCATGCACTTAATGCACCTTGTGCACTTCACTATCCCGCGCGCCCACTGATCGATGCTCACCCGACCCCCCTCCCGCCCAAACCACACGATCGTCACCACTTCCTGTGAAACAGTCTCCCAAGTTTGACTGGGCGTCTGTGTCGCTGAACCTCGACTGCCCATTCCCCATCGCCACCCTCAGTGGTCTCGACTTTATCTCCCAAGTCCTCGAGCGCGCTCACAAGGTATTCACACAATCACTGCACAAACAAACAAACAAACACAACACAACACAACACAAAACACAACACAACACAACACCTTAACCCCTTCCCTACCCTCACCCGCCCTTCCCTCTCTGCACAACCCCCCCCCCCCCACAACGTTCTCCCTCTCTCTCACTCGCTCCAGGGCCCGTTTGACCTGCGCGGCCTGCATGGCGCGTGGGCGAACGTGGAGAGCCAGCTTGCGCTACTGACGTTGGTGATTGACCCAGCCAACGCCACAGACGAGCGCGTCTTCAACCTCTTCAAGCAGTACACGTACCGGGACAGCCCACGCGAAGGGCTCAAAAACATCCACAACCTCGCCGAGCCGACGCTGCGCTGCTGGCTGTCCCTCGACCTCATTGCCGCCCTCCTCAACGTCGGCAACTCCATCCACTACGCCCGCGCGCGCCAGATGTTCGCCCCGGCCATGACCCACATCCCCGACGTGCTCATGGTGGGCCTGGCGTTTGCGTTTGCGCCGGACGACGTCGTGGCGCAGCACCGCCAGGCCGGGCGCACGGCGAGCAGCTCCGGGTCCACCTCCTCCATGGCCTCGGGCTCGGGCCCCGTGGCCGGAGACGCCGCCGGCGCCGCGGGCGGTAACCCGCTGCAGGACGACCTCATGCTCGCCCTCATGGCCGTGTTTATGGAGCAGCACCCAAACACGGCCCCCGTCCTGCAGAAGGTGCTCGCCGTCAAGGGCACCCTCGTTCTCCACGGCATTGTCGCCTGGTACCGCATGCAGCCGAGCCTGACCAGGCTGGAGCGCGTGTTTGTCGTCGCCCGCGACATCAAGGCCATCACCAACCTCCTCGACTCGTCAGACTTTGACTTTGTGCTGGAGCTCGCCGTGTACAGCTCCACCAAGGAGTTTCTGCACGTGCGCAAGTGGATGCAGAACCAGCTCACCACCCTGCGCGGGCCCTTTGCCCTGGCCTGCCTGCGCTTCCTGCAGCGCAAGCTCACCAACCCCGGCCCCGGCTTTCCAAAGCTCGACCCGTCCCTCGTCAACACCATGGTTGCCGCCCTGGAGAGCTCCTCGCTCGAGCCAGACATTGTGCAGCACATTGACAACTTCCGTACGGGCGTGCCGGATGCCATGATCTCCAGCATCCCGCCCCTGAACCAGGCCACCCTCCCCTCCCTCCCACACGTGGGAACCACGGCCACAGGCAACGGCAAGGGCGTGGAGACGCTCGTCAAGTCCCTGCCGCCGCTCTCCCCAACCCAGGGCCAGGGCCAGGGCCAGGACGCAGGCGCAACTTCGGCAGGCCAGGCAGCCTCCTCGTCCATGCAGCGCCCGCCACCGCTGCTTCAGCAGCCGCCGCCGCCGCCGGGCCTCAACCCGGAGCCCTTGCCACCATCACCCTCGGCCCAGCCGGGGTCGGCGTCTGAGCTCGTGCCGCTGCGGCCTGGTGTGCACCCCGAGGACGCGGCATCCAAGGAGCTCATGGACGCCATTGCCGCCAACCTGTCGCTCGTGCAGACGGGGTCAAAGGCGCCGCACGAGTTTGTGGCCCACATTGGGCCCTCGCTCGCCCCAAAGGTGCACGGCAACATGGGCCGCGTCCTGGAGGTCCTGGTGCACGTGCTCTTCACGGACCTGCACACAAGCGACATGAACAGCGCCGTTGCCACGCGCATCATCACCGAGGTGATCAACTCCAAGGCCCTCGGCACCCACCAGCTGCAGCCCGTGCTGGCGTACCTCCTGCTCATGCTCCAGTCCAACCCACCGCGCCACGTCCTTTCCGTCATTGCCAACGTCATGCAGGGCAGCCGCACAGGCCTCGCAGACTACCCGCACTATGTGCAGCAGTTTACGGACGCGTTTGACAGCCTCGACTCGCCCAAGGGCCCATCCGCGGCAGGCAGCCATCACCCGCCGCACCAGCACCAGCAGCCTGACCTGGTCGGCTCGCAGCTCCCGCCACAGCACCATCGCCCTCACCCACACCACATGCCGCAACAGCATCAGCAGCCGCAGCAGCAGCAGCAGTCGCGGTTTCAGCTCTTTTCCGTCAGCAACCCAAGCAACAGCAGCAGCAGCGCCGCCGCGGGCACGTCCCCACGCCAAACGCGCACGCAGCTTTTCTCCCTGAGTAACAACAACAACGCCGCCGGCAACAGCAGCAGCAACGGCAACGGCGGCAAGTCCAAAGCCGGCACTAGAGGCGGCACCAGCACGGGCGGCGGCGGAGACGGCGGCAGCAGCCTGGTGAGCCCCAACATGGGTCACGGCGGGCCTGGAGGGGCGGGTGCCTCGGGCGCCATGTCGCCCACCCCACGTCAGATGACGGCCAAGCGGCGCAACATCAGCTCCATGCCCATCCTGCCGCCCTCGCCCCGCAGCGTGCAGCGCATCTCGTTTATCTTCAACAACCTGAGTGAGGACACGGCCGCGACCGCCGCCAAGGACGTGGCGGGCTTTGTGGACGAGTACAACTACACGTGGCTGGCAAAGTACTTTGTTGACGAGCGCGTGGCCACGGAGGGCGAGCTGCACGCCCTGTACACCAAGCTGTACCTTGGGCTCAACCCCACGGTGCGCCGCGCCATCCTCGACAAGACATACGCCGCCGCCACGGCCATTCTGCGAAAGTTCAACAAGGGCGAGCAACTGAGCAAGCAGGAGCGCACACGGCTCAAGCACCTGGGCAACTGGCTCGGCAACATCACGCTCGCCCTCAACCGGCCCGTCGTCACCACCAAGCTCTCGCTCACAAACGCCATCAAGTCCGCGTACCAGCGGGATCTGCAGGCGCAGGCCAAGGCCGTAGAGGCTCAACCCCCACAGCAGCCGCAGCAGCAGCAAGCACAATCACAGCAACCACAGCCAAAGAAGAAGAAGGGCCAACAGCAACAGCAACAGCAGCAGCAGCAAGGCTCGTGGGAGCACATGGCCCTGACGGTGACCTTTGTGTGCAAGGTGCTGGAGGGCTGCAAGCTCAGTCGCGTTTTCCGGCGCACGCAGCCGTGGGTGAAGGAGGTGTTCTCGCTGCTGAACGAGGTACACGAGGCCGTGCCACGCTCGACGGTGCAGTTTGACGTCGAGCTGCTCTTCCGCCACGCAGAGTACGACCGGGACACCTTCCCAAAGTCGTCGGTGCTGGCCGGCATCCAGACCACGCCGCCGCTGCACGACGGCCTGGGCACGCTCTCCTTTGTCGAGGACCTGACCAAGTTTGGCCTCACCCCGATGCAGGCGTTCCAGTTCCGCAACCTGGTCCCCAACAAGATTGAGTCTGTGCGGGAGTATGTGACGCTGACGCAAGCCATGCGCTCGAGCCTGGCGGACGTGCCCAACCTCAACAGCCTCGTCGTGAACACCTTCCAGGCGTGCCTGGCGGAGGTGGTGGTCTCGGCGCGCACCCGCGCCACCAACGTCGCCGTCACCACCGCGCACCGCACCCTGGCCAAGGACTTTGTCTACGAGCGCGACATCAAGCTGTTCCGCACGACGGCGCTGGCCATGGCGCAGAAGTTTGCGTCCAACCTCGCCGCCACCATTGGCCGCGACTCGCTCAAGACAAGCTTCGTGCGCAAGCTCAAGGAGCAGTTTGGCGAGAGCATGCGCCTCAGCTCGCAGCAGGAGAAGGACACGGTGCTGGGCAAGCTGGCTGACGAGAACATGGGCCTTGCCACTGCGTTTCTCAAGATGTCGTGCATGGGTTCCGTGGAGCCCATGCTGGACGACCGCTTCTACGAGGACTACGAGATTCGTCGCAAGCAGGGCAGCGGGCCATACTATCAGCTGTGGGCGCAGCTCCCGGACGCCCTCATGCCGCCCAAGTCGTCGGCAACCTTTGCCAAGCGCCTCAAGGAGATGTTCCCCGACTTTAGCAACCCCATCCTCAAGTCGGACAAACCCACGACACCCGACCTGACCAACAGGCCCGTCCCAGGCGGCATCCCTGGCTGGAACGCAAACCAGCCCTCGTACCCGCCCGTTGACGTGCGCGGCACTGGCCACGGAGCTGCGCAGCTGCAGCAGCAACAGCAGCAACAGGTGGCGCAGCCGATGCTGCAGCAACAACAACAACAGCAGCAGCAGCAACAACAACAACAACAACAACAGGCACGGCAGCCAATGCCGCAGCAGGCTTCGCAGCAAGGCTCGCCAAGCAGGCAGGTGCAGTCAGCACAGGTGGGCCAGTCCCCGAACATGCCGCCACCACAGCAGCAGCAACAGATGCAGTCGCCCCAGTATGCTGGCATGGACCGTCGCCCCTTCCCGCCAGGTCTGCAGCCACCCATGCAACAGCAGCAGCAACAGCCACAACAGGCGCAGTCACCACAGGCACCACAAGCGCCACAGCAGCAAGGGCAGCAGGGTGTTTCCCCGATGCGTGCGGCCCAGGCGCCGCTGTTTGCTGGCCCCGCAGCTCAGCCCGGTGGAGGCCCGCCGCCGCCGCCCACGGATGCGCCCACCATCCTGGACCAGCTGCAGCGGCACGTTGACGCGCTCGTCTCCGTCGTCACAAAGGACAAGCACGCCCCGCACAGGCACATGTCGGAGGCGCTGCGGGAGTTTAGGGCGCTGCTGGGGCCCGTGCCGGCCAAGGTGCAGGAGGAGGTGCTGGTGCGCATGGCCAACATGCTGCTGCGGCGCCTGTTTGAGGACATGACGTCGCAGCTGCCCATCCTCCGCGACGTGTACGTGCACGCCATGCTGGCCCTGCGCGACTGGAACGACGTGTTTGTGGAGCACACGTCGCAGTGCTACGTGTCGATGGACGGCACGCAGAAGGTTGACCGGTGGGACGACGTGGCGAAGCTGCTCTGCCTCAACCTGCTCTCCCCACCCGTGCTGGACCCGTACTTTGTGAAACTGATGAACAACGGCAAGGAGGCCTTCTTCGTGAGCAACGTGGAGAGCATCATGCGCAAGACGGTCGTGGACTCGCGCGCCCTCCTCACCACGGACTTTCCCGAGACGATTGGCGTGCTGCGGCGGCTGGCGCAGAAGCGCTCTGCAGAGCAGCAGCGGCACAAGGAGCTGGTGGCCAGCATTGACGGCGTCGCTGCTGAGGAGGCGGAGACGCTGCGCGCGGCGCCCTTTACGGCGGCCATGCTGCACGAGACGGAGGACGGCATGCGCAAGAAGCCCCACCTGGAGCGCGCGCTGCGGCTGTACAACGAGTGGTTCACAGCGGTGTGGCCCAGCAACAACATTGACTCGTTCCTCGAGCGGCTCACAAACAACCTGCTCATCACGGAGAAGTCGAGCGCGGCGTTTTTCAGTGTGGCGGTGGACGTGTCGCTGACGTGGTCGTCGCGGCCGGGCCCCTGGGCGGAGACGAGCGACGCCGTGCGCGCCTTCTTCTCCCTGGTCTCCGCGTCCTTCTCCCGCCAGATCATCTCCCAGTCCATCTTTGCCTACCTGCTGCCGCACATTGCCCGCATCATGCAGATGGAGTACTCCCGCGCCGTGCAGGCCGCTAGCAGCGATGACGGCACCGCTGGCATCATGCAGTTCAACCAGCGGCCGTACCTGTTCCTGGTGGAGCGCCTGCTGGCTTACCTGCGGGCGGACGTGCACCCATTTGACGCCATCAACGGGTTCCTCACGTTCCTCAGCACCACGGCGCCGCCCAACATGGAGCACTTTACGTTTGGCTGGATGCACATTCTGTCGGACCGCGCGTTTATCCCGACGGTGATGCTCGTGCCGCACGCAGACAACATCCGCCGCGAGGTTGCCAACCTGATTATTGTGCTGCTGCGCTTCCTTGCGCCCCACCTGCACAAGGAGGGCCTCACCCCGCCCTGGCTGCGGCTGTACGAGAGCACGCTGCGCCTGCTCGCCGTCACCGCCCGCGACTTCCCCTTCTTTGTCAGCGAGTTTGCGTCCACCTTTGTGTGCTGCCTGCCGGCGTCTGCGGTTGCGCTGCAGAATGCGGTGCTGTGGACGGCGCCGCTGAAGAACGCCGTGCCGGACATGCCGCCACGCACCATGCGCCCGCCCCCGCTGCGCATCAACATCAAGCCTTTGCTCGGGCAGCTGCGCGTCCCCATGGAGGCGTTTTTCAACCAGCCAACGGCAGAGGCCGTGCCCGCGCCGCTGCTGACGCTTTGCCAGCTTGACGCCACGCAAGACACGTTCCAGCTGCTGTGCCTGGTGATGCACGTGATGGCGGTGCTGCAGACGCGCCACACGCGCGCGCCTACGGCCATCACCCGCACCCCTGGCGTGGTGCTGCTGCGCCAGCTGCTCTCCGTGGACCGGCCAGACTTTGTGTACATTGCCGCCTCTGCCATGGCCACGCAACTGCGCTACCCGAACCCGCTCACGTCGTTCTTCTGCTACGCGTTTGTGGAGCTGTTTGAGCTTGTGCCAGACCTGAGCAAGGACATTTTGCTGCGGGTGCTGACGGAGCGTGCGCTGACGACAGGGCCAACCCCGTTTGGCATCAGCATCGCCCTCAGCCACGTCTGCAAGGCAGACCTGCTCAAGATGCCGTTTGTCATCAAGAGTAAGTGCAACAGTGTGTGTGTGTGTGGGGGGGGGTTAGAGTGAGTGTGTCTGTGGGTGTGTCTGTGTCTGTGTCTGTGTGTGTGTGTGTGTGTGTGTGTGTGGTTAGGTTGTTCCTGTGTTGTCAATTTTGCAGTGTGCTTTCGCCTCGGTCTGTCTGTGCTTTTGCGTAACTCGCATACTCCAGCCTCCAGTTGCTTGAAATAGCTTCGCGTCACCACTCGTCATCACCTCACACACCGTGTCTGTTGTTCCAACCCCGCTCCCCCGCCTCTTGCTCTCCAGACCCGGCAGTGACGGAGCTGATCAAGAAGATCCTTGCGCACATCCACGCACACGCCGGCCCCGGGCAGCAGAAGCAGCAGCAGGCCACTTCATCCTCGGCCTGACGTGCTGTGCTGCATGACGTGCAAGATGAGCAGCAGGAAGCACGTGCCGTGGTGATGATGTGTTGAGTTGGATACGCTGAGGGCGCAGGTGTGCTCATGCTAGTGTTGTTCGTGGTTGGGTCGCCACGTCGTGTGCTGCAAGCAAAACGCTGCCGCGTTCTTGGGTGTTTGTTTGTACCGCTTCTACATTCTGACACCCCTCGTATCGTCTGTGTCTTCTCTCTTATTTGCTTCGTCTGCCCCTCTTTCAGTTGGTTTCTTTTGTGCATTTGAGCTTCGAAGGCAAGCAGCCACTCATGTTTTGGTGTTGTAGATGTCAAGTGCTTTCTTACAATTGATTTTTGTGTTTCGCAGCTTCATGTGACCCCTTTGTGTAACTTCCTCGCTGTTGCTTCTCCTTTTGTGGTTTCAGTTGCATTTCGTCAGGCGTTAATGTCATCCTCGCACATGTAGCTCTTTCATACACAAAGGGAAGCCAGGAAGCAAGCGAGCGAGTGAGAAGGCAGTCACGAATGAAAGCAAGGAAGAACGTGGCGTGCGATGCAATCAACCCAAAAGCGTGGAGAACAAGTGAAAGCACGCATGTGCATATGCACACGAACACACACACACAGACACACACGCGCGCGCGCGCACACACACACACACACACACGCACACACGTAGATCAGACGGTAGTGATGTCATCGTCGTCAGCGTTGTCGTGGACATCTGTTGCACTTGAAGATGTGGTCACGCCAGCGATGGTGTGACGCGCATCGCCCTGCTGCTGCTGCTGCTGTTGTTGTTGTTGTTGTTGTTGTTGTTGTTGTTGTTGTTGTTGTTGTTGTTGTTGTTGTTGTTGTTGTTGTTGTGGAACGGAGGTTGGTGTTGGTGTTGAGGTAGGTGCTGCCGTCGTTGTCTCTGTTGGTGGTGTCTGTGAGGGAGAGGCTGCGTGCTGCTGAGGAATTGCTCCGACGTTTGCTGGTGGTGGTGGCGATTGCGCATGTTGCACTTGATCGTATTGTGGTGGTGGGTCAGAATCTGTCTGCGGCTGCTGTTGTGGCTGCTGTTGTGGCTGCTGTTGTGGCTGCTGTGCATCTTGTCGTGGTGGCTGTGGCTGTTGTGGCTGTTGTGTGTCTTGTTGCTTTGCTTGCAAGTCACCCTGTGCACTTACTTGCTGTTCTGGTTGCTGTGGGCCCTTCTCTTCCCCTTGCTGCTGCTGCTGCTGCTGCTGCTGCTGCTGCTGGGATTGTGAATCGCCGGACACAGATGCAAACACAGAGGAAGCCTTTGGAAGCGTGGATTGCGTCTTCTTCACGTGTAGCAGTCGACGCGTATCTGCGGTCCGATCGACGGGCAGCCCTTGGTCCATGACCAACTGCGCCGTGTCCCGCGTGCCGAGCCCGCCCGTCTCCCTCCGTGCCTTGTGCAGACTGGCTGCACGCTCGGCCTCTCGCTGCTGCAGCAGTCGCTCCTCCGCCGTCGGCTCCTTGAACAGGTCCTCATGCATTGCCGGGTACGCGGGCGCATCGCGCCGCTGGATCGTCGTAAACTCCGTTTTGCGCGCTGAGGAAGGTGTGGCAGGAGGATGGAGATGTGAGTGGGGGATGTGAGTGGGGGGGGGATGTGTGTGTTTGTAAGTGTGTGTCTATGCGTGTGTGTGTGTGTGTGTGTGTGTGTGTGTGTGTGTGTGTGTGTGTGTGTGTGTGTGTGCATGACAGGCAAGCAAGTTGAGGAATGAGATGTGGCGCAACACGTACGTATGAAGGGTTGTTGACGACGATCTGTTGAAGAAGGAGCGGGTTGGTAAAAAATGCAGTGTTGAGTACTGAATGAGTTTGGTGTGTGTGTCTGTACACGCTGGTGCAAACACACACACACGCACATGTATACATTGAATGTCAACACTCACGCACACATCCACACACACACGCACACATACACACACACACAGAACGAACCTTCAGGCCGCACGTCCTTGTGCAGCAAGTCTCGCAGCGCCAAAAGCTCATCTGAGATCACATCGCAAAGACGGGCGGTGTTGTGATGATGATTGTGTGTGAGTGTGTGATGAGGGTGAGTGAGCACTCGAATATCACTCGTGAAGGCAGACAAGAAGCGGAGAACCACCAACATCATCAATGTGACATGTCGCACAGCCCAAGACAGCCTCACACTCGCAACACGCGCGCATGAACCGAAGAACGCACCAAACGTCTTGTTCTTTGCGGTTCTGAGATTGTATGTGCGGCGCATGTCAAGGTCGGTCATTCTGTTGATGCGATCGCACGAATCCAAATACTCCAGCACGCGATCCGCTTGTTCCGCTGGCGAGAGGTGCACGTAGGAGAGAGAGAGAGAGTGTGTGTGTGTGTGTGTGTGCGTGTGTGTGAGAATGAGTGAGTGTTCGTGTGTGATTGTGAGTGTGAGTGAGTGTGAGTGAGAATGAGTGAGTGAGGGTGTGATTGTGAGTGTGAGTATGAGAGCGAGACAGAGAAAACTACAACCACACAAGCGACAAGACAGAAACGAAGGTATCAAACAGCAAAACGTGCAGCCAAACCACGCGCCCGCACTATCACTCACGTTGCAAGAATTCGCGGGCCGCCTCCTCCACAGTCTGGCCCGGCCGCTGCGAACAAGCCACGATCACACGTACACGCACATGTACACAGAGAGAGAGAGAGAGAGAGAGAGAGAGAGAGACAGACAGACAGAGACAGAGACAGAGACAAAGAGAGATGGCGAGTGAGAAGGTGACAGCAGCAGCAGCAGCAGCAGTGGAAGGGAGGAGAGGAGGCAATGATGAAGACAAGAAAGATGCAAGAAGCACGCAATGATGCATGGAGAACGCACTCAACTCGCACCATCTTTCGTTCAACATCGTGGATGAGTTGAATGACTGTCTTCTGCTTGTGCTTCTTGTCAACCAAATACGTCTGTGGAGGCATGCATACGTGTGTGAATGTGTGTGAATGCGCGCGAATGTGTGTGGATATGTCAGCATGTGCAAGAATGTGCTCATGTGAGTGTGCGTGAGTGCGTGTGTGTGTGTGTGTGTGTGCAGTGAACGACTGGAGCAGCAGCAATCGCACACTCAAGGGAACCACAAGTACACGGTGTACGCACGGGGATGTCGTGATGCCACAGCTCCGTGACGCCCGCAGCCGTCTGTAAAAGGAAGGGGAACGACGGTGGGAAGGGTGAGATGTGAGCCATGGTCGAAGGCGGTATTGTGTGCGATGCAACAGCGCACAACACAAACCGAGAAGGCAGTACACTGAGTAGACACAGGCACAACAACAACAACAACAACAACAACAACAACAACAACAACAACAACAACAACAACAACAACAACAACAACAACAACAACAACAACAACAACAACAACAACTGAAACAACAACAACAACTGAAACAACAACTGAAACAACAACAACTGAAACAACAACTGAAACAACAACTGAAACAACAACTGAAACAACAACAACAACAACAACA